TTTAACTCTTTATTTGATTTAAATCAATATTCACATTAAATCTGCCACATGCACAATAGGGGCCTACAGTGTTGTTATGAAGACAATTTTTTATATGAAAACGTTAACAGGTATTTTTAATTAAAGCTTGAAATTATTTATTCTTTAAGGTGTAAATTGTGACAAATTAATATAGTCATTTTGACATTTTTTTATCATTGGGATTAAATTTACTACAGAATTTAACTGTGGTTCTCTCAGAATTTTTTATCATACTAGGCCTATTCATGGCTATATCTAAGGAAGCCAAGCGTATGTACAATGTTATAAGGTAAAGATACACTATAAGTTTTTTAACTAAACTAAGTTTGGCAAATTCATTTGATAGGTTATGAATTGCAGCTAAGTTGGTTAAAGGTTGGATAGTTGGTTTGTTAGTTTGTGCATTAGAAGCGTGTGGTGAGCTGGAACTAAAGGTTAAGAAATGATTGGGTCTTGGAAGCAGGCTTGGGCTTGACTACCTATGTACTCCTGTGAACGAGGTTGAATCTCTTTTTGGCCTCACCCCTCTACACGTGAGGCGGCAACACTCAGACCTACTGACACTTTTTAAGTTGGTCAATGGCCTCCTGGACTGTCCGGATCTACTCTGCGGTATCCACTTGCACATCCCAACAGGAACCCGTTTCAAAACGATATTCCGCTGACGCTACCAACCCACCTACTATGCATCATACAGTGACATATTGAGACTTCTATGTACTGGTAGTGATGTCGCAATTCACCTGGACTTCTTTCATGACTCCATGTTCCGGAGAAAGGTCACCTCCCTGCTAAAGTAATAACTCTAGTCACTACAGTAGAATTGTTATTATTGATTTAGTACACTATATTACAGGTAATAATACTTGTTTTTTTTTTTTTATTCTTGCTGTTACCATTTTTGTTCTTTTGTATGAATATTTACCCATCTTGTTAACATTGTATCAATTTTTGTAAACTGGTGTAAACCATTGGGAAATAAATAAACAATATATACAAAATATAAACAAAATGTACAATATATATGAATTTGGACGGATGGTGTTTTTAGCCTCTGGGGATACCGAAATAAAAAAGTAAATAGGTCAGTCTAGGTCTTGCTATGAGACCTATGGTAGTGGCTTATCGCTCTTGGGAAATACGCTTAAAGAAAGCAACACAAAAAAATCATCTACAAGGGTGAGAAAAGCGTCAGAAAAGTTACTTCTGTAGTTAATTATCATGTAAAATATTTGTATTTCCTACAGTGTACAGCAAAATCAACCAGTAATAGAAACTAACACAATTTTTGATTCAGTAATCAGTTGATAATATAAATTTATCTTTGTTAAACATGTGCAATGCCAATCAGTCAAACACTACTCTGAGAAGGTGCAAAATATTCACGTGTCAGTTAATGACCAAAACTATGTGTCTATGTGCCTAAACTACTTTTGGCCCACTGCATTTCAGCAAACTATCATTGATTTCTTTCAGTTTTACTATGAATAGTAATAGAGTTTTTGTTTCTTTACAGATAAAAACTGTACCTGTACTTCTTGTGATGAGGAATGGAAAAGTTGAGGACAAATTAGTGGGTTTACAAGACACAGACAAACTTCACAAGTTCATTGATCAAGTCATCGCAAAGTAAACAACCCGGTTTATGGAGTGAGGAGAGTCTTTTATAGAGAAAACTATTACCACCATGTGAAAATTAATTTATTACATGTAAATTTTTTAGAAATAAAATAATTTATAATTTAATTTCAACATAATATCATTATTAATATAGAATCCTTTTAATCTTAAAATTGACCTTAGAAGTTCTCTTTTAACCCTTTGCGGTCTGTAATGGTGTCTCCCTAATGTTCTTTCAGGTATCTTTAGGCCACTCATAGTGCCCAGAACCATTACTCAGTCAAGTATTGGCGGTTACGCCCCACGTCTGTCCCTCAGATACGTTAGGCCACTCAGTGTGCCCACTAGCAATATGCTCGAACGGTCTCTAGGCCCTAGGCCACTCATAGTGCCCAAGTTATAATTTGTCTGCAAAACAACTATATTTCTATAGTTCCCTGGAACCTACTGCACTCTGCTCAATATTTTTAACTATATTACAAATGCGTCATTCAAGCTAGTGTCTAGCCGTCTGGTTCTCATCAGGCCTAACCTATTCCATAGATAAAAGGAGTATAGACTGTCTACTTCTTTTAATCTATGCTTATACTAGGCCTATCTTATACATTTTCATTTTCGTGCAGTTAGGATATTGTATGTATAGTTTGATTTTTATGTGAGATGTGAAGTTAACTGAAATATGAATTCAGACAATAAAATGGATTTACTGGATGACGTTTCGGGATTTCATATCAAGTACTTTTTTATTTGTGTTTTAAACATTTGTAAAATCACAGGTTTTATTAAGGAACGCGGCAGCGTTCCGCCCCGCCAAGTCCCCCAGCGGTACACAGCTGCTGCAGTGTATATATACATGACGTGACAAAGTGGCTTTTTTACTCGTCTATAGCTCTGAAGAAACAAAAGCTATTAAAATAATTATTTATCTACTGGATAGGGGCACTCATTCTCAACAAAATAAAAAAAAGAATTTAAAAAACGCTTGTGTTTGAGCCAAGAAAAACTAGTTTGAAAATTAGAAAATTTTCCGTGTTCTCCTTCTCCTCCTCCTTCTCCTTGAATGTTGACGGACCTACAGCCTAAACCACTGGCTCAATTTTTATGTTCTTTATGTTGTTTGAAAGCCCTTAACGTGTAGATGTGCCTTTTGAGGGTCTGAAGTCGATGCATTGACCCATAAACTCTTGGCAAGCCCTCAAAGTACGATTTTGGCCCATTTAAATAACATGGGATTAATCTCAAAACAAAAGAAGTACCAGCTGTGATTAAATCTCAATTAATTTAAATGTTAGAGAAATTCATAGGAACAGCTAAAAAATTATTTTAAAACTTTTATAAAGTATTTTTTCAGGTATACTGAATGATTTGAACTACTTACTATATAAAATTACTTAGAGCAGTGATATTCTCCGATACTTGCAGTCTACCGATGGTACACTGGTACAGCAGCTCGTCATTTTTAACAGTTTAATACTACTTATCTAAACATATGAAACCTGGGAACTTAAAACTTAGTACTAGTACTAAGGTTTGTTTTATGTTTTGATACTACACTAAAACAAATAAAACAATCGGGAAAATCACTCTACGTATGTTAAACAAGCAATTAAAAAGTGAGATGTAAATTTAGGATAAATGAGTTATTCAATATTTGTTTTGCCTTATGCTACTTCTAACAAACCTAATCTGTTTGATTACATTTTACTTCTCTAATAAGGGCTAAATTTACACTAGTCTTTAGATATACGAGTTTAATTATCTTATGTAACACCAACGCATTTTATGTTGTTCAAGATGACCATTGATGAAATTTGAAACTGAGTTTAAACTCAGGGGGTTTGTTAAATAGAAATTTTGGTACGTGTGTCAACAAGTTTTTAATCTGTTTAAAGCAGATAAGACCAAAAATGTAGAATTTAGTTCTACACAAACAATATTATTGAAATTAAATGAGATGTAGTTGTGCCGTGGTCTATATCAGAGAAAAGAGGATTTTTATTTTAACTGTTAATTTTCTACAAAAATAAATAAAATCTAACAAAAAACCACTAAGTGGTAACACTTTTCCCGCCAAGTCAGCAATCCAAAAAAGATAATAAATCATTACTTTTTCCGCCAAGAAAAACAATGTAATGTATGTAAGTTTGGCAACTTGACGGCAGACTTTTGCTCGATCACTTTAAAAAATACCATAAAACTAGTTTCATTGAGCAAGTATCTCTCCCATTAGTACATTGCTAGGTGAGAGCTTATTTTACAAATTTTGACCTTATTTGTGCCACATTTCATAAAATCATAATAGTGATGGTTTTATATTTACTGATTACCTCGTAATTATTGTACTTAGTTGGACTAATTAGTTAGAGAAGTTGATTTGTGAAATTATCCACAAACGTAACTATAATGAAAAAAACCAAGCAAAAGTCTGCCGCCAAGTTGCCAAACTTACATACATTACATTGTTTTTCTTGGCGGAAAAAGTAATGATTTATTATCTTTTTTGGATTGCTGACTTGGCGGGAAAAGTGTTACCACTTAGTGGTTTTTTGTTAGCTATATTTATCACTTTCTCAAACAAGTTTCCAGAAACAGCTATACCTACTGAGGACGGATGTTCAACATGGCATCACACCTGACACCAAAACAGTGGGCACTATAAGTGGCCTAGCGTATCTCTGAGTACAACAGGGTAAATGTGATGCCATATCTAGCTTGAAATTTACAGTGGGCACTATAAGTGGCCTATAGACCCCAAAGGGTTTTAAGAGTAGCTTAACTAGTTCATGAGCCCTATAGGCACTATAGCGTATAAGAAACGGCTTCAGACAGTGATGATGACAATGCATAATGCCAAGGTGTTTGGTCATGTTCAGTGATTATAAATCTGGTTCTATTTCATTTGAATACATTTGTTTATATTTAAAACTTTTTTGTGTTGTAAAATAGAAATGCTCGTTATTGGATGAATTGGTGTTTTGTTTCTGGTATTGAAGCAAAAATGTTGTTAAAGTACCGCCACATATACAGTACATGTTGAAAAACACATATACATATTAAAACCACTCATAGAAACTCCAAAATTATATTGTTTTTCTTTCTTTGTACAGTAACTAGTAACAGTTTCGCCTGGAGAGTTTTAAGGATCAATGTGTTTACACACTGATTGTATCACTGGGAGGTACACTTAAAAATCTTTTAAACTAATATATCCGGAAAAGATTTGTCTGAGTAAATGTATTAATTTGAAGGCAACCACTATCATGATTTGGCCACCTTGTAAATGTATTTGTTGTACTTCATTTTTCTTAATATTACTTTATAGTATAAGTGTTAATTCCAGAAAAAAACATAATAACGAGTTCATTAACAGGAGTTTTATTGAAGCATTTGTAATACAGTTCTGGCTCTGTTGTACTTAATTTCATTAACTTTGGGAGTAGACACTTTTTCTGTTTCAGTTAAACTTTCCCACTTCTCCATTTCTTCAATAACTTCATTTGCCATCTTTGACATTAACTCCTTCATACTTTTACTTCCTCCTTCCATATATTCCAGGAAAATATCAAAATGAGCATCAGGCAACTGGAACAGTTAATCAGAATGTTTAGCTATTTTGTAGAAGTAATTCTGTTTATTCTTTTTTAGCTGGAACACACGCCCTTAAAATTATATGGTTACAATTTGGCTAGGCTAGGTTACCTAACTTATTCTAATCATTCTAAAACTCCTGACCAATAAATAGGCTTGAAATGAAAAATTATTTATTAGGCAGGCAAAAGTTAGGACCACATGGCCCTTTCTTACACTTAACCTGTAGTCTTGCGGATTTTAACTTAAACAAAACCAAGAGTGTGAAATTGTTAATTTTAATTCACTCTTTTTATTTCAAATGTACCACACTGACTATTAGCTTGACAAAAGTCAATGCTATTAGTTAAGGGATACTGTAGTCTGAAACACCTTTTATGCTTTCAATTTCATTTTCAATATTTATGTCTCTCTCAAGGGTACAGTTCATTGAAAAGATGCATTGGAAAATATCCTTCAGGCCTCACTACTTGTACACAGAGCCGGCCTTAGGCACTTGGTGTGGTTGCACATGGCCACGCACCTCCGGGAGCCCCCACTTGGGGGGAAAAGTTGTAAAAAGTGTCAATTGTGGGACTACGGAAATTTTAGGTTCACGCCAAAAAAATTTACTACGTAAGCCATTAATCCTTTTTACGTGTTAGCCTGTCAAGTAACAAATTGTGATAGAATAACATGATTGTAATGTCTCCCTACTCGTGGGAGTCGCCGAGATTGTAAAAAATCATTACAGTTGTAGCTGCGATCAAAGAAAATTGCCGTATATTGCTGCTAAAGGCGTTAACGGATTTGGAAGTCAGTTGTGAATTCAGAACTGATATAAAATCATGTTGATAACAGTGGAAACAGGTTTTAATAATATATTTTATATGTTTTGTAAAATCAAGGTTTGAGCCTAGTGTTGTAAAGTGTTTTACTTTTTAAATAAATAGCCTAATTTAATTAATTATTTACTCAATGCTTGTGCTAATGCAAGGGAACTCTAGGCCTAAACTCTAATGCATACCCGTCGCATGGAAATTTCTTAATTGCATGACAATTCTAGGAGAAAACCATCATCCTATTAGCAACAAAGAGGTGACAAAGAAAAGTAGGGTATGAACTGACTGGGACCAAGGGGTTGTCCTGTACTAACTGGAGGTCACGAATCGTGGATAAATATAGGCATGATCTGTACAGTGGCGGCGCTTCCATAATGGCCAGGTGGGCCAGGCCCACCCAAAATAAACAGTAAAGTATATTTTTAAATACTTTATAGGTTATTTGGTTAATATTGTTGAATAAACTGCAATATAAATTTATGTTGAACTTTTAACGGGTCATAACTTTTCTTAAAATACAATGCAATCATCTCGTAAGACATTGGGGGCCACGGATTTCGGGGCCCTTCTAGCAGCCATTAGATTGTAATGGACAAGGCAACGCCAGCTGGCGGCGCTTGACTATCAGGGAACAATGCATTGATATATGGAGCATGGTGGGCCGATTTGGGCTGGCCCATTGAACGTTGATTCTCAATATTCTCGCTGGGAGTGCTGAGCGCTAGTGTAGCTTTGTTAACATCTTGCCGTGTATGTTGTACACCATCCGGCAAACAGGTTGTAGTTGTAATATTTTATGAAATAATAAGTTAACACCTTTAGTTAGTTTTGTAATATTATTCGTACAGATTTATTCGAGTAGCCATATTACAATTTTAGTGATCATAGGTTTGAAGGTGTGTTGGTGATGTTATTGTGAAGTGTGTTTGTGTTCGTGGTTCAAGTGGGGTTAGGCCGACTTCAACGGTAATGCAATCTTCAGAATTAATTGTGAGTTATTATTAAAAAATTCAGTTCTTGCCATGATTACGATAGTAAAAAAATAATTAATAGTAGCCTATAAAATAACGTAGGTACCATTTTTAACCAACCCATCATCTAATCAGGTGCTTCACATAATAAAAACCCAGTCTAATTTATGTAAAAAAATTCAAAAAACTTTTTCAAAATTCCATGACCCCCAAACCCCCCGCAATGGCCTACCCTACTGTTCAGGTAAAGCGCTGCCACTGGATCTGTGGATGTGATAATCCCTAGTGTGGTTTAAGGCTGGCGCACACAGAGACAGACAGACACATAAGAACAGACTCCTACAGTCAGTAGGATTTTTTGTAACGCACTCAACTACAGGAGTCCGCAAGCAGATGGACTATCCCTTCCCTCCTTCACCTCGTGCTTTCAATACGGTACCTAACTTACTGTACTTCAGAGCTGTGAAATTACGTGTAGGGCCTAAGGTTGTGCAGCCATGATTTTCAAAAGTGATGCAAAAACTAACCAAAGAAACAAACCACAATTGGAACACGATGACTGTCCCTCACAAGTAGATATAACTGCAGTGGGTCCAGTGTCCCATCTAAATAAAATTCTAGGACAACTTCAGGTTTTCCAGGTTAAAAATTCCCAGGACAAAACTAGCCACTTAAAAAAGCAAATTAGTATATTATTATTGTTAGTATATTACAACTGCTTCTGCAAATTCCGTGAAAGTTTTTTGTGATCGCAGCCACATTGGTGATCATATTGTACAATGGTGGCAAAATTTGGGATAATTTCCCGTGATTGTAGGAAAAGTTCAACATTAATTTATAGTGTAGTTTATTCAACAATATTAACCAAATAACCTATAAAGTATTTAAAAATATACTTTACTGTTTATTTTGGGTGGGCCTGGCCCACCTGGCCGTTATGGAAGCGCCACCACTGTACAGATCATGCCTATATTTATCCACAATTCGTGACCTCCAAGTAGTAGGCTGCCTACAAGTAGTTTCAATCGTTATTAGATACTGGGGTACAGTTTCTTAACTGGGCTACGCTAATATTGATTGAAACTATCAAATTGAAAATAATGATTAATAATCTTTTAAAATATATCCATTATAAAATTAAACTATCATAACCTAACGTAACCAACCAAACTTGCTGATGGTGAAAAAATCGCATGAAAGTATAGGCTTACTAATCGAATCGATAGTTTCAATCAATATTAGCGTAGAAGCCCAGTTAAGAAACTGTATCACCCAGAAACTGTACCGGTACCCGGAAGGTTAAAAGTGGGCTTATGATTGTAGTTGGTAATGTGTCATGAACAGTAATCAACATACCTTTTCATTTTCAAACATGTTGGTAACCAAACGTGTCTGTTTCACTTTCTCAAATTTCCAATTACCTCTTTCGTTCTTCCATCTAGTTAAATAATCCAAGATAGAAGAGTTGGGTTGTACGCTAACTGGCTTGGATTTATTTTTCTTCTTTTTTGATTTCTTTTGCTTTACGAGTGATTTGGGCGTATTGTCTTGCTTTAAACTTTCAACATCGAAGTCTACTGCCTTGTCCATAGCTAATTGAAAGTCACTTTTGTTCTCATTTCCATCCCCTTTTTTATGTTTACGTTTCCTATTGGATTGTAAGTGTTCAAAATCACCGTTGTCATCCTGAGCAGTAGGCCTAGGCGATTTTCTTTTACGGGATCCAACAATTTTATCAGAATTGTAAGTGTCTAAAGATTCACTATTAATTGACATCGAATCGTCTTGTTGGGATTGACTAGGCCTATCAATAGAAAATGAAATCTTCACTTCGTTAATTGTTTTCGTTTTCATCTTAAAAAATGAACAACGAAGTTATTGTTTCAGCAAGTGGCAAAAGGTGGGTTTTAGAGCATATAAATTAAGTAACTTAGGCTACTATTAAAAACTATCAGGATTCACAAGTTTCCTACCATTAATACATCATTGTGTAATTTGTTCTTTATATGCCTACTTATTTTAACTTAATATAAACGGTTTTCAGTTTAAAATTGGATAGCCTACATTACAAAGCGACACTTATAATACCAAAGTGATAAAGAGTAGTAATTTTAGTTATGTTAAACGGTTTTTGTAGTTAATGAAAGACAATTTACCATGGTATTGACAATGACATGAGGATGAGAATTGAATGATTGTGATTGATATTATTATAATAATATTGTGATTGTGATTGTGAACGTGAACTGAAGTTAAAGTTGAGGTTATGTTGATGAGATTATTTTTTTGCCGATGGCTAGGCTATGGCTTTTTAATAATCCATGCAGCCTCGAGGTACACTAAATGTGGTTGCCTTCTGTATATTGATAGTGTTAAAATATAAATTTTTTTGTAGGTTTGACAAAATACAATACTGTAGCTCTTGGTTTTGGTACGATGTCATAGCTTATAATGTCATAGCTTATAATTGCGAATTTGTTGCATAGCTTATAATCTTGAAAATGTGGCATAGCTTATAATGGGAAATTTAAATTGTTCCATAGCTTATAATCGTAGAAATGTGGCATAGCTTATAATGGTTTTCTTAAAATGTGGCATAACTTATAATGGTATAGCTCAAATGTGCTGCAGCTTATAAAATCTCGTTTGTTCTATAGCTTATAATTTTCAAATTGTGGCATAGCTTATAATGCGCGGGAATGACGTCATAGCGGATGGAACAGCTGATCGATACTCAATAAACAAATAAATTCTTGCAATGGTCCTCAAGTACGGACTAGCAGCCGCTACTCGGCAATAAGTAGTTACGTTAAGTGCAGCCAACGTAGCAAAACCAAAAGTATTTCATACACCTGAACGACATATGTAATAGATGTATATAATAAACGTATTTTTGTTGAATAATAGAATTATTTTTGTTATCTACTGTTTTCCTTTAATTATGTAAACTGAAATATATTTATTATAAGTTTGACATTGCTCGCGTTGCTTATTTATGCTATGCATGATAACTAGTTCTTATTGTATAGTATTTATTTTGTAATATTGTGTAATGCCGGTATAAAAATACTTTATCATAGATAAAACCGTAGACTATGTAACATAAGTAGACTTTTTTATTTTGAAGCTTGTTTTTAATGTCTAGTTCATGTACGTCGACACTGATCGCTAGTGTAGACGAAATCTTCTTTCTATTATTTTAGGGTTATTTTCATGATTTGTGATTTACTGTTTGATTATATATTTTTTTACATAATTTATTTCTGGTTCAATGATGACATTATTCACAGAATTGTTAACAAAATAAACAAGAAAATAACAAATAAGAACATCGTGGGTTCGCCCAGACCTTAGACACCCTGTAACATAATTAATTTAGATAAAAATATTTAATCTTCTTTAGGTTTCATTCATCCAATAGATCTTGAGGAAGCCTTCGACGTAGCCTCCTGTTCTCAGTTGCTTCGCCAAGATGAAAAGCTAGTGCACCAGGAACATAGACTTCAGACATTTGGAGGGGGTTTTTTCTATAAAGGCCGAGATGGACTTAACTAGGGGACCAGTTATTGTTTATGATTATATCGTTTTATTTGGTTAAATGATGTTTGAAGTAACTCAAATAGCAATAAACATATTGTGAACAAAATACAACCTCTACAGTTGGTACAGAACTAGCAATAAAATTGCTAATAAAATGTTACGATTTTTAAAAAATAGTAATATTTTATTAGTAAACAGTTATTAGTTTATTAGTGATTAGTTATTAATAGTTACTAGTAAACACGGTGTGGATACTTAATATCTACGATCTAAGTTGGACAAATAAGCTGGTGACTATACAGAGTAAATTGTACTAATTTCAGATCGTAGATATTAAGTATCCACATCGTGTTGGGCTCATTATTTTTGGAATTTCATGTGGAACTAAAATTTATAAAGAAAATTTTATTTTAACTAAACAAAAGTTACAGATCGGTGTGAATGTGACAGTGGGTGAGTCACTGTTTGTCTCCGGCCAGCTCGACGAGCGGATCGAGAGGGTTAGTTGAGTTCCGAGAAGGTTCCTAATCCGCTGGTTATCAGCCAAACAGACGGAATATAGTTTTCCTACAGTTACCTAACAATGTACATGTTCTCTCACTGATTTGAAAAAGCAAAGTGGCCAATTCTCTTATCAGTGAGACAATGTTAACATTGTCTCACTCTAATTACTTTGTCTCACTCCAGATTTGCAACGTGAAGGCACGAAATAGTGAGCGCGTAGCATGCAGACAAGGTTGTATGCGCGCGAAATACGTTGGCAGCACTGGCTGTAAATCACCTGGTCAGCTGTTGTACTAATGTATCATTAAAATGTCATATTAAAAGTTCATTTCTGTGTAAAAATATGTTACGTTTCTTTACCAATTTATTTGATTTATGGTATCTGTAGGAAAAATATAATGTGCAATTCGAGTGCAAAGTGCAATTGCTTCACTCGAGAAACCATTCCTCACTCGCCTACGGCTCGTGAGTAAGGATTTCTCTCGAGTGAGTCAACTGCTCACTTTGCTCACTAGTTCCACAAATAACTATAGATGTTATTTTGTATTGTGTTAAATTACTTTTCCTTCTATTAAACATTTAATTTTGAATGTCAGCAAGTTTGTTTGTTTGGAAACAACACATTTTTGATTGAAATTTGTCAGTAAAGGTCCTTATAATTCTACCAAAATAGTGCAACCCCCATTCCTGTAAAAATTACGTTCAAAAGTTAATGCAGCTTTTCTGTAACAAAGTAACCCAAGCATGATTTTTTATTGCAAGAAAAAATAAAATATTCTTCCCAAATATCGGAAACATACGTTTGACAATAGTTTTGTCCATTGATGTAATATATGCAATTTCTGTAATAGCTATCAAAAATGATATATCCAAGTATTTATAAAACGTGCTAAAATTCTAAAATCCATACTGAACTCTACTACGTCATTAGCAATACTTGACACAAGAAGGCACTTATAGTTGCCAAAATAGCCATAATCTAATTAGGAATAAGTAATAAGTTTGTTAGGAAGCACACAATATGGTAGGCTTAGCTAGCTATGCCATTTTGCGGGATAGTGGATTTTTTGCCCCCTGGGCGAACGTGACGTCACAAACCAGGGGGTAAAATTCCGGCCGCGAACATTTGAGTTTCGCGACATCAGTTCGATGGGTTAAACGCGGTGTATTTTCACAGTTGTTAATTTTATCAGAACACATCAAATTATAAAAACCTAGAGGGTAAGGCCGGAATTTTACCCCCTTCATGAGGTCAGCTCAAAATGTACGGCCCGGATTTATAGCTCTGGAATTTTACCCCCGGAATTTTGCCCCCCGGAACTTTACCCACGGAATTTTGCCCCCTGGCCAGATATATAAATTAGTGAGAATAATTAATTATCTCCATTAAGTTTTGATATAGTAAACATATTATTATTAAGTAGCATATCTATCTTAATATATTTGTAACATCAAGTAATCGAAGAGGGGTTTAAATTTAATTTTAAAATTCGAGTATCAGGATTTCATCTTTGAAGTCAACTACTGTATTGGTTAATATGACGTATAAACAAACATCTGAATGGTAATTGATTTGAAGATTTCTTTAACGATTTATTATACAACCGTGGTAAAACAATGTTTTTCGTTTGTATTGTAACAATAACAAAATATGCCTTATTGTTTCTTTACGAAGAAAATGTTCACCCAATTATCATTTTAATGAGCTACTCAGTTAATTTTACATAATTATTTACCTTTACCAACAGTTGGCCCCAAACGCAAATCCCGAACATCATAAAATTAAACAACGAATTCTGTTTACTTAGTTGAGATTACAAAAATAAATAAATTAAGATAGGCTACTTAACAATAAAATGTTTACAATTAAATAAAAACAGAAATATGAAAATCAATCATGCTTAATAATTTCTATATCCGGCCAGAGGGTAAAAATCCGGGGGTAAAAATGCGACCCTTACAGTACATCTTCAGTTGTCTAAACACTATGGTTATATGGACAGGGGGTAAAATTCCGGTTTTTATTGCTAATCTAATTAATCATGCTATGCCTATTTTCATTAGACTTCCAAATCCGCGGGGGTAAAATTCCGCCCGCGAACAAACTTATTTTGAGCGCTCAGGTACCACGTCATAGTAAAGACAGCTTTGCCCAGGGGGTAAAATTCCAGGGGGATAAAATTCCGGCGACACAATTTCGCTATTTAGCATGATTGGGTTAGTTATAGTCAGTTTAATTGTACGTTTCATGGGAATTGTCATAGATATAGATAAAACCATAGATAAAACAAAACGTACTAGCATGGTAAATTTTCTCATCCTTGTGGTCTTATGGAACAGCGGAATGCTGAAGCCAATTTTATTGTTATTTCTCTCCAGTGCTCTGTAGAGTCGTATTTTGTTTACAATTAAAATTTGTTTCTTGTTATACAAGTAATGTAAACCATCGTTTACCTTAATTACCTCCTCCTTGTTTAACTAAATAAAGCGATCTTATATCATAAACAATATCTCGTTCCCTAGTTATTTAACCAAACAGTGAAGCACAAATCATGAAATTTACCCTGAAATAAAGCAAAACAGCATTTTGTTGACACTAGCGATCAATGCCACCGGACATGAACTAGACACGAAAAACGAGTTTCAAAATTGTATTACCATAGATAAAACATAGTCCATTACCATACCCCTTTCAGACCCGGGAATTTTAGTCATCTCAACCGCTTTAAGTCCTGAGCAAATTTTGAATAAATGTTGGTTTTTGGCTATCCTCACAGGAGGCACCACAGATGAACCATGCCCTCGAGCCTGCCCCCAGACTAACGAAATGGAAGCGTGATCCATGCGCAGGCCCGAGGAGCGGCTCACAAAACTTTACTTAACAAAATGAGAACCATGGATGGAGGCTCAAGAACAACACGCCATTTGAGAGAAACGAGCTGTAATTAACCATTTAAAAGAATAACACAACAATAATTAACAATAATACATGAATTAAATACTCTCAATAAAACTTTAAAAAATTTGGATACCACTCTGACCTACTCACTTACAAACATTAATTTAAAAAAATTCAAAATAGGCTAATTTCAGTCAAAGTAAATTTAATCAGTTTTAACCTTTAAATTAACAAATTACAACAATGAAATATCTAATGACTCTTTTAATAAATTCATTTCATGGTAACTATAGAAAATTTAGGGGCCC